GTAACAGGAAAGTTATGTCAATCTTTAATCTATATGTACAAGATATAGAAAAATGCAACAGGGCCAGTGCGTGAGAACAAGTTCACTGTATGAACAGCTGACTTGATTGACGCCCTGTTCCAGATGGGAGGGTCGACTCCCCTTCAAACCAACACTAAGTCCCGCCTCGCAGTGTGGATCTTGCTGGCGACTTGAGGATATAAAATGAAGGAACTTAGTATAACTGGGACGTACTCTCTAGTTGGCGTTCCCTCAGTGAACTCCTATACAGAAGTCAATCCAATGTTGTAGTCAGTGCACACACACAGCGATATTGCGTTGCCGGTTTTCTGTCACTTCCAAGCCGAAAAGATTTCACAGTCAGCGGGTGGAGACAGAGCCATGGCAGGGGACGGTTCGGACCAACGGGCGCTGCAGTATGAACAAACTCTGGTAAGTCTGACTTGTTGCTGCTGAACTTTGTTCAGTGGTCGAACAACACGTGGAGGTCCTTTGACAGAGAAGCCAGATTCCACTCACAAATCGTTCAACTTAACGCTACATGAACACAATCAGTGACAACAAGTTGTGTTTTGGTGAATGAAATAAACGCGTGTTGGTGTAACGTGTACGCCGAGTAAACCACAGTCTCTCTGTATTTCGGCAGATTTCTACTAGGCTGTGTTTATTTGTCGATAACAAATGGTAAAGTAAAAGTTGTTAGATTCTAAATGAAGTTCTGCCTCATGTGCGCTCACGTGAAAGTGGCCGAGGATTGTTGTGTCGGAAGCCGACGTGTGTCTTTAAGCGCCTCCAGGTCGTTACTTGCCTTGTTTTGTGTAAGTTTACATAAGTTGTTAAGGAGGTCTTTCTGAATTGTCAAACACAACAGGTAAAAGTCTTTAGGTAGTAGCTTTACATGAACCTGAGAGTAAAGGAGTTTATTATTGTAACATCTGGATTTGGCTGTCCCCAGACAGGCAGTTGTCTCCTGTATGGTTGGATTTTGTCCAGAATATGCTGAAAAGATCCAGCACACAAATTATTATTATTATTATTATTATTATTATTAATTTGTAAAGCTCATCATTTTTCGCACACCCTCTTGGTCCAGCCAGAAGATACCATGGTGAGCAGTAGCAAGCTGTTTAAAGGTTATCAAAGTGAATAAATAAAGTAAATAAAATGCAGTTTGGTCCCTCATATACTAGTGGGCTTTACAGTAGGCCCCCACTGGTATGAAAAAGACATGGAGTCATGTTTTATAATATGTGCATTGTTGTCAAAAAGCAAATTTGCTCTGCTTTGATAGTGTGACGAGTGGAACTTTGCTTAAGGGCCTGTCCAGTTCTGTCTGCTTCTATAATTAAACTGCATATCCTTACATGAAAATGTTTTCACATAAATTACAGTGATTTTTTTTAGGCCCATTCCATGTGTCAGTAGCTCTGGTCTGCATTAATATCAGCTTCCACCATGCAACAATAGGCCAGTTAATTGCTGATCACCAGCTGAGTGTGGAGAAAAGCTGCTGAGACTACATGCATAATGTGTTGTAAGATGAGATGCAACCAGGGGAGGATCTAGAAACTTTTAGATGGGGTGGCCAGGCTGGGACACAGACTCCGTGAGGGGTGGCACATTTGAAATGCTTATAAAAAGTAAATCAAACCCCTAGTTCTATGAAATAATACATTGTGCATTGTTAAGAAACAAAATTGTTTATTCTATTTAAAAATGAAGCGGTGCCTTCTTTAGCTGACTTTGGTTGTGCTCCTGGGAGTGGTTCCCACAGCCCCCCCAACCACAAATAGAGATCACACTTGTACTGTAGTACTGGGTTAGTGCCTGTATATGTGTGTAGTTTAACTTTTCCTGACAAAACTTCTGTCGAGCCTAAAGAAGCTGCTATTTAAAGGGATTAGTTTTATAGGCCAGATGGATCCATTCAGCAGCAGAGGCTTTAAATTAAGAAGAGCCACTACTGTAACACTTCTTTGGGCCTCTGTTTCCTTTTCTTGAAAAAGTTTCTTTATTAAGAGCCCCCCCCTCACGCGCGTGCGTGCTCTTGTGTGCTGGTAATCTGTGTGTGTTTGTGCGAGAGATTACGCAACATGCCAACATGAGACCCGCTGATTCAGCTCTGGACGCTCTGTCACCCTGGGGGGGTCATGTGCTCGGTCCTCTGGTTCTCGGAACGGAGCGTGCAAGCAGCTCTTCTCTTAAAAACAAAACAGAGAGGGGGGAAAAAAATGCTTCCATGCGTCCTTTGCTCACCCTGCTGTGCTTGGATGACTGTTACATGAACAAAATTGTGAACGAATCTAAAGAGAATCAAATAGAATTAGATACAGTGTGAGAATAGCCTTTTCTAATATAAATGAGTTCTTTCTCTGCCCCCCCACTGTGGGTTGCAGTAACATAGTGTCTTTGTGCAGTATTGGCAGTGATAGTGGTTGTGTAGGTTTGGCGTGGGCAGTGGATGCTCAGAGAGCCCAGTGTAGTTTGGCTGTGTGAGAGGCTGAGATGTTGGCAGGGCCAGGAGTAAGGAGCATTGTACAACTACTATAATACTGTATAACTGGCCTGAACATATTGTCTGTTAACATCAGACGGATACATCGGTTTGCTGATGGGGAGCTGGGGGTTTTTTAGAAACTGATGTTTATGCAAAATTACACAATATATGCATATACAGAATGTACTTTTTAGGCACAACTGCAAGTTTGATTAGAGGATATATATGTGTACACAAATCTCTTTATTTCCTCCAGTATTTTGGTGCCACACGATTTATCTAAATATGGCTTCACAGGCTTTTTAGAGATTAAAAGATGAAGTCAGAAGTTTCTGGGTACAATAAGTCACTTGTTGAGTCTAAAATGTTGGCAAACAACACAGAAAAACACTTTTAAATTCATAAGCACTTTCTGCTGTTAAAAATTCCCCCAAACCACAGTCGCTGGCAGATAATCTGTCTTTGTACAGTACACTCGACAGACAATCACATGGTGCTAGAAAAATAACACAAATATTGGATAAAATTAGTTTTTTCTTACAAGCAGGTACCAGCTTTAGTCCTCATTTTAATTTGGCATAAATGAAATGTTAGAGGATGTGGACACAGGTGGGTGGGTGTTTTTAGAACGTAGTATCAAATAATAAATCTTGGTATCAAAGGTGAAGTTTTATGAGGTGTTGTACAGTGGTGAGAGACAAATATTTATGACACAAGCAATACTATTGTCCTTATTACTCCAGTTTAATTGCAAAACCATGTCTGTGCACATGATGAAACGTTTAATTGTTATATGGTGCAGGTGTTTGAAAGACGGGCACTTTTAAAGTGAGGTGGCTAATAAATGATAATGTGAAATTATATTGGCAGTGTTGTTGGAGCAGGGCTGCAAATAATTATTTTATTTATCACTTGATAGGCTCGACTCAGCCTACAGAGACATTTACACTCACCAGCCACTTTATTAGGTACGCCTGTAGGTACAATTCAAAGCAACACTTCCAGCTTAACATCTGTTTATGAAGCACAAAATGTTTCAGTGGAATGTTGGGGCATAAGCTGGGCTGATAAGATTTGCATGATTTACCTAAAACTAACAGCAATATCATAGTGACAAGTTGCTCTGGGTGGTACAGTACACATTCCTTTATAAATGGGCCACATTGTGCATATACCAAGATGTTGATGTATGACAGTATTAGAAGAACCAAATCAATACAGTCGTATACCAAACCAAATGTCCGGTAGCAAACAAGTTTGAGAGGGCAATACAGTGGCACCTCGACACTGCATTGAAGCAGCAGCAGGCAACAGCTGAGCAGTAATGTCAAGGACTGTCCGTTTTCCTGAAATGTGTTTTCACCACACCTTTATGTGGAGTCACAGGACCACAACATCAGAACTGACTTATCATCTCAGAGATGATGTGACATGTAGCAAAATGTTTGCAGATGTACATTCTGTATGTGTGTGAGAGCCCATGACATCATTCTTTCATTATACCTGCGACTCCCCCTCAAACCTGAGGGTTTTGATTCATTGCATTTTATCCTCCTCCTCTGTATCTGGTGGACAGATAACACATTCACACCTCCAGATTTTGTCTGACTGGCTTTGATGCCTTGTTGTTGTTGTTACCTGACTGCGTGAATGTACTGCTGCTGTGTGTGTGTGTTTATAAGGTGACAAAGTCTGTCTGGAGGCTAATGATCACCTATTGCAGTGGTTCTGATGATTTGTCAACATTGCTGGTGTCCCCTCTGTATAATTTTTTTATGTGTTGTGTGTAGAGGATGTTCAGATAAGAACTGTGAGAGATAAGATGACCAGCAACCACCACTTCAACAAAGTCAAAGAGGAACCACTGATGTGTTTTATGGTGGCGTCCCATTCTGACACTCAGAAGCTATAAATATGTATTTCCATGTTTTATATATCAGAAGCAGTGTTGCTGTTAAATGATGTGTGCACTTTTACTTGTAGCAGTTGGTATTGGCTATTTGATGGGACAGAAAATCAGGTGAAATTTTTTATTTTAGTAGTAGTAGTAGGGTTGGCCTTTTGAATTAAACAACAGGGAAGTGAAACCGCTGCAGTATGGGAACTTTATTCCTATGTGTGTGCTGAGACAATTTGTCTTGGTGTGACATGGTGATTTATAACCCTGAGTTATGTACCTAGCTGTTGTAACTAGGAATTATGTAACCTGGTCTGTTTTGATGTCTGCTCCCTTGCAGTCCTAGTGGAAATTTCCTTTTACTGGCACTCTCCACTTCATCACACCTTGTGCATAAAGTCTTCTTTTTCAAAATTTACAAGACTGAAAAGTTACTCGACCCCTACTTTGTGTGTGGAGAAAGGGGCGTTTGCATGACATTTGTTTAACCGGCTGGCTCCAGCATCAAAAGCCTTTTTAACAGTTATTCTCTCTGTGCTACAAAGGTTCAACCGTTTGCTTCTTTCTTTGCCACCTTTTTGTTTCTTTTCTGGACAAACATCCATGATGGATTTCCTCTGGTCGGGACTTGTGATGTGAATAGATCATCACAAACATTTGCACAAAAAGTAAAAAAATTAAGCCTCTTAATGAGGAACCATTGGTAATAACTGAATGGGGCAAACACTCGGCAAGATGGAAGAAGCGTTGACAATGCCTCTAGACAAAACCAAAGGTGGAAGGCGTTTGTGCGACTGGCTGTGTTTATTTTGGGATGCATTGATCATTCAGGCTGGGTCGTGCTGAAGATTAATGGCTGAGGGAGTGAGAGGCAATGGGTCAAGAGATTTACAAATGAGTTTCAAGTGCTGAGGCGTGACTCTTGATTTGTGCCAAACAATTATCCCCCCCCCCCCCCCCCC